AAATTCAGACTTAAAAATTACTCAAAAATACAAATTTTATTCAAAAATGAAAGATTGATGATTACTATTATAATGATCTGTATAAAATACAATTTCAGTTCACACAAAAACATTTTTATAACAATTATTAAATAAAAATAAAAAATCCCAATATAAAAAAACGAATTGTTTTTCAAGTGTAATTCTTAATTTAATTGGCTGTTTTAAAAATTCTTGACATATTTTCATCTGACTAAAATAAACTTTCCCAAAAGTGCATTAAAAACAACAAAAAATAATATTAAAAATTTTAGACTATTTGTTGAAAATGCTAAATAAAATGTTTTTCATTTTTACAAAAAAGAAGTTCTACACTGACAGTAACCATTTTTTGGGTAGTAACCATTTTATCACACCCCTATAATTAAAAACAATTAAAAAATCGCCACAATAATCAGTAAACAAAAACAATAATTATATCTCGCGAACTTGAGACGGGAAATAACATAGTGTGTATTGAACTTGTTCATATTATGATTATATACTTATTGAAATTATTTTCGAATCCGTTATAATAACATAATAATTGAAATTTACGTTTAAATTGATAATTGTTTTTTTATCAAAATAAAAATTTAAAAAGTAGAAAATATTGATTTTCTAAAAATGTGATTTTAAAATAACAAATTTATTAATAATTTTGTAATTTATGCAATTATTCAAATTTATTGTAATAACAAAGTCAATCATAATTTGTATATTTTAAAAAGAATGTTTCATTTTGATATTAACTTGTGTTTTAAACAGATTTACAGTTCTGAGGATGGCAATTATTTTCTGAGGATGACAGAAATAGAAAGTTTATATTTTTACATCTGTCTGAAATGTATATTGAGTAAATTACCATTTTTTGAATATGGGAATACGTCATTTTACTTCTTAGATGTTTAAGTCTGTGTTGATAATGTCTGTTTGTTACACGACTTACCATCCTCAGAGATATTTATAGCACTGCCACTTCTGATTTAAAATTCTATAAATAAAATTATCAAAGAATTATTATTAAGTGAGTTTTAATAATTGATTATATCAAAAATCGTCAAAACACAACAAAAACGCCAAATAATATATAAAATTGATTATTGAATTCAAGATACATTTATTGAAATTAATATTGTATTATAAAAAATAATATAAACATATATTTCTTGTGTGTATATGTTTTGAAAAATAAATAAAACCGTTTAAAACAAAAATATTTTTATTTTAAAAATTTGTTTATTTATCAATCGTTGTTTTATCGATATCCAAAACCTCTCGTTTTAATTTTGCGCGAATGCATTAATTGTCATCGCATAGAGTATACGTTATTAATACGTTATTTGCTATCAATTTTTATTGTTTGAAATATCATGAATTGATTTATAATAAATTGTATTTTTTGTGAAAAAGATAAAATTGTTAGATTAATTTGTTTTGTGATTTTGATTAAAAAATTGACTTTTTCGATAATGTAAATGTCTGTCAAATGTTTTCATATAAACCAAGGTTAGTCAAGTGGTAAATCAAAAAATAGAAATTTTATTATTTTTGTTAAAAATAACACCAAGAATCATCTTTCAAAAAATCCACAAATAACATTTTTAAATAAAATCATGTGTTTCAAAATATTTTTTTTGATCTTTGGCAAAAAAATCTAAATTGAAAGAAATTATATTTAAGATATTTACCATCTTCAGAAAATTAACAATCCTCATGAATCCCTTAAATGAAAGTAGTTTGGTATTTTTATTTATTTTGGTTTTTTTAAACCTCAAACTATAGTAATTAACTATTAAAATAGGATTATAATTAATATTTTTTATTTGAAAACAAATTGCACAAATGTCAATATAATTTATTATAATTTAATAGTTAAGTAACACAATTTATTTTTATATTGATTATACAACAATTTTAATTAATGTTATTATATTTTTTGTTTAAGGAAGTACTAGTTCATTGTCAATAATTGTATTTTTTGGAAACCAACATTCATAATTAATAATATTACAACAATTATTTTTATTTATGTTTTAATTAATGTTTTTTATACCACCGAGTCTATTTTGCCACAATAGAAAATTATGTATTATTATGTTGGACTGCCTCATTTTTGCTTTTGAAATTATTTTTTGTTGTTAAATTTAATAACATATATATTGTTATTTTTTATTTTGTTATTACATTTTTTTCTTCCAAAATAAAATTGCCATAAAATAAAAAAAATAAGCAATAAACAAAAGATTATTTTATCAATTACAATAATTTGCAATTTGCTTTTTGATTTTATAAAACACTACATCAGTATTTTTTTAATGATTACCATTATTTTTTCATTGTCAGAAACGAAGGTTTTTTTGAGACGTATGGGGCTGACAATATCTCATATAAGTTATGAATTCGCAATAATTTGAAAGAACTGGTAATAAAATCATTTAAATGATTGTCAAATAATTATAAATATAGAATAATAATTTATTATTTTTTTAATTTTCAAAAAATGATAACAAAAAATAATTGGTAAACACTAAAAAATAATTTTTTAAATAATACTAACCCAAACATCTGTATTTTAATTTTTTCAAAAAAGTGTTTTTAATTATTTTCATTGTAATCAGTATCCCACTTTTTTCTTTAACTGTAACATAAGGAGTATGTAACCAGTTTAATTAAATCGTAATTTAAAAAAAACATAAAATAAAGTTAAAGAGTGGGGAAAAAGCCACACCATAATTCTTTTTAATTCTTTTTACTAAAAAGAACTTTCTTTTTTATTTATAAAATAAATTCAATAAATTCAGTGTTTTTGTTTGATTTTGAAATCGTGTTGATTCAAGTTTTACAATTTTTCTTTATGTTGATTGCAATATTTTACTTTTTTTAAATAAAATTGAAAAACTTTATAAAAAACTATGTTTTTAAATTGTATTTTAATATTGTTAATATATTATAATTTGATATAATAGTTTTATTATGTTTCAAGTTTAATCCAAGACAAATTCTATTTAATAGTTAATAACAAATCGAAAAAACTGAGATATCCTCCAAAAAAAGCTAATATCTTTTTTAAAATATATGTATTTGAACATACATATCTCGCATACACAACTTTTAAATCAAATGAAAATTTGAGAATTAAATACTATAATATAATTACAACTTTATTGATATAGCACTTAGTTTATATTAGACAGAATAATATAAAGTAAATCGATATTTGGTCTTTTTAGACCATATTTGTTATCACCATTTATCGATTTTTAATCACAATTGTATATGCAAAACTTTAACAATGCAGTTATGAATTAATACATTTAAAAGTTTACTATAGTTCAGTTACAAATATTCAAGATATAAATCATTTTAACCGTTTATGATTTTTTAAATTTTTGAAAAGAAAAATGAAACAACATATTTTTAACACCAAATAAACAACTTTTTATGATAATTGTAGTATTTTCCTGTTTTTTCCCAAATAAACTAACCAATTATAAAACCAAAATATTATTACTGAAACACAAACAAATTGAATTGTTAAATCTATAAAGACGTTTTGATTATAATTTCGTTTATTTTGTCAAACAAAAGAAGAGCAAAGAACAAGGACGAGTAAGCAGTGATGGTGATGGATGGTCTTGGTTCACATTTCAGTGAAGAAGCATCTAAATGGTTCACCGACAACCACGTGGCTGTTTTGAAATTGTTCCCACATTCTTCACACATCACTCAACCACTTGACTTGTCTGTTTTTGGAGTTCAAAACGTTTGTTTTGTGTATAATAATAAAAATAAAAAATTAATTATAATAAACTAAACTTTAGAAACTTATCCAACTTCCTCAAGTTGATGAAGACTTAAATTTTGAGCCAATTGATTTAAAATCTTTGGGTTGTTTTGGGTACTCTGAACTTGGAAGACTTTAACTGTGCCAAAGGTATAAAGAAAGACATAATAAGGGATCTATATGAGGGGAGATTGACAAAGGCTGATTTGGTTAAATTCACCAGAAGTCCTTTGTCCAAACAAATAATATCGATCTACTCGTCTTGTGACAAAACGACTTCTGGTGTTACCATTGTCAACGCGTTTAGAAAGAGTGGGTTCTTCAACACTCAGTGCGTCAAGGGCGGAGAGACTTGCTTGCGCGTCAAGTTCTTTCCAGAAAGACCGAAATTGATGATGACTTTCTTGGGAGAACTGGTGTTATTTGAAAGAGAGCGATTTGTTGGAAAGAGAAAAGCGGTTGTTGCACACAACATACCGGAGTTCGAAGATGAGTATGAGGACAATGATATTTCCCAAGAAGTTTAATATCGAGAACTTTACCAACATAATTCGACCTCGTTTACTGTTTTTTGTTTTTTTGTTAAAAAGTATAAAACAATTCAGAAATAGTATAATGTATAATTAGTTATTAATCATATAAATATTTTATATTTTTATAATACATATTTAATATAAAATAGTTAAATAAAAACCCATAATATTTATCTAGATAAGTATTTTAAATTAAAAGATAAATCGAATTTGAAGGAGTAAACGAATTTTTCTTAAGGTGAGTTTGGTTTAGAATGTTTTCAAAGCAATAATAAAGTTTATAATTTAATATGTAAAGTAAAAAAATATTATTTGGATTGTGGTAACTTAATAATAATTGTAGTAATCATAATAGTATACAAAATAATATAAATTTGATAACTTAAAAAACAAATCATATGATAAGAATTGTTATGGGTTGTATTATAACTATAACTAATTATTATTATAAATTTTAATACAATATACAAAATGTTCAATCGTTATTTTGTATTGATATAAATTTGTAATTGTTAGTTAGGAAAAAATGCGCTATTATAGTACTTCATAAAGGTGGTAAAGACTTATCAAAAATAGTAAAACTTGAATTAAGGAGATTTCAAAATCAAACAAAAACACTGAATTTATTGAATTTATTTTATAAATAAAAAAGAAAGTTCTTTTTAGTAAAAAGAATCAAAAAGAATTATGGTGTGACTTTCTCCCCACTTTTTATATATATTACTAAAATATAAAAATCACTAACAAAACAAAATCATCAACCCAGACGAAGCTGTTGCTTATGGTATCGCTGTGCAAGCTGATTTTTTGACAAGAACTAGTGGAAGGCAACAGAAGAAGTCTTGTTGTTTGATGATGTTGCCATTGACACTTGGGATAGAGACAACTGGTGGTATGATTACTGTTTTAATTTGATAGACTCTTCCGTCCCAACAAGGAAGTCACAAGTGTTTTCAACAAGTGTGGACAATGAACTTGTTGTCTTTCTTCAATTGTTTGAATAGGATATGTAAAAACTTCAGACTTCAACTTGCTTGGGAAGATTGAGTCGAGTACATATTTGGAAAAAGTAATTATCAATTGAGATTTTCTTATTGTTTCTTCGAATTCTGACGATGATTTAATTAAATGTTCAAATACTAAGCAAC